TTAAAAAATCCTAATCAAATAACAACGTTTGCATAAGCAAAATTAAAGAAACATGATGTTTTTTTTTCTGTCTGTCTTTTAAGAAATGCGCGCACTTTTGTTGATTTGATGCACACCTTGTATCCTATTAATTTTTAAATAAAATTTTAAACTTGCACCAAAAAATTTTATTAAATTTCATGGCACTTTTAAACAGCCTAAGTTACTTAAGTTTTTAAACATCAATTTCTAAAAAAATAAATAAAAATCTGAGGGGAGATTTCCCTCACAATGGATTTCCCTCACAATGGATTTCCCTCACAATGGATTTCCCTTGTATTAGCCTAATTATTCATGGGAAGGAATGATAAAGATTATTAGAGCTGTGATGATTTTTTTTTTTCTTCTTTTGTTTACAATTAAGTTTATATTACATGTTTTGATTTTTTTTTTCTGGTTTTACCTTTATTTATTTTATCATTCTTTAAATATATTTATTTTTTTTAGGTTAATTTTTGTATTATATATTATTTTGAGAATTTTATTCTCTTTTCAGTTCATGGATTGTTTATTTTAATTTGCTTTGCTTTTTTTAGCGCATTTTTTAAACACGCTAATTATCAAAGCTTGCAAAGAGCCGTGTCCAAATTGTTAAAACAAAGAAATTTATGCATGATCATATAAGGTGTGTGATCGCACGTCTTAAGTTATGAGTAGTCATGGTTTTATATCAGAGAATAATATCTCTTAAGTTATGAGCAGCTGTGGCGCTGTGGTTAGAGCGCTTACTTTAACAGCTAAAGATCTAGGATTCGAAGTGAGCTCTAGCCATATTTTTTGCCATTGGTAAGGAAGGTGGCATGTACTTCCTAGTTAAATTCTCCTTCGTGGTGCTCTGTCATATGACCATTAGAAATAATAATGATTATATTTAATAATTTTTACTTTTAAATAGTGTCATGTTTTTACTTGTATAAGAAGTTCTAATAAGTGAGTGTGAGTTTTAACTGTACATTTTACATTTACATTTTTTTTTTTTTTTTTATTTGCATTCACTCCCAACAAGGCTGCAAGCAACCACTATTAAGTTGGGAGTTACTAGGAAAAAAAAGAACAGAGTTATAGAGCAAGGAAACGGTTGACAGAAGACTTGAAAAATTGAAGGTTGTATGAGTCAGGAAAACATGAAGATGGGAGAGAGTTCCAAAGGATTGAAGTGCGGGGAAAAAAACTAGATGAATAAAAGTTTTTAGAGCACGCAGGAACAGATACAGTAAACGAATGAGACTTAGCTGAAAGACGAGTAAAACGAGAATGAATTTTAGTTGATGGAACTAGAGATGATAACTCCTTTGAGCAATGACCATGATAGTATTTGTAAAAAAGAGAAAGAGATGCAACTTTACGACGATGGGAAAGAGGTTCAAGCTTAGCAGATAGTCCAGGTCCATCAACATTTACAATGCGTTTTTGGACCTTGTCAAGAAGAGAAAGTGAATCGTTAGAAGAACCAGCCCAAGTATGACAACAGTATTCCTTGCAGGGATGAATAAGAGATTTGTAGAGGTAGAGAATGGAATCAGAAGTAAGGAAATGGCAAGCACGATAAAGAGAAGCAACTTTAGCAGAAGCTAATTTAGCAATCGATTGTATATATGGTTTCCATGAAAGGTCAGTAGTAAGTGATAATCCAAGAAGACATAAAGAGGAGGACTCAGTAAGAGGTTTGCCATTCATTAATATAGGAATGTTCACCATATTACTGTAGTTGTTTGCAGTAAGCAACTGGGTTTTTTTAGAGTTGAAATTCACAAGCCACTGTGAACCCCAATCTATTACTGAAGTGAGATCGGATTCAAGATCAGCTGCTTGTTCTAGGCGATCGAAAAGAGAAGACTTTTTGTCAAGACAGGAGTATAAAGTTGAGTCATCAGCAAAAAGAGCTACTTTAGATGAAAGATTTTCAGGAAGATCGTTTATGCAGATAAGAAACAAAACAGGGCCCAAGATGGAACCTTGGGGAACCCCAGAAGTTACTGGAAATAAAGAAGAGTGTTGGCCTTCAAGGATGACTTTAATTAACCGGTTAGAAAGAAATGATTTGATAATCTCAAAAACTTTCCCAGAAACACCATATGAAGCAAGCTTATGGAGAAGACCAGCATGCCAAACTTTGTTGAAAGCTTTAGATATGTTGTGAGCAATAGCCCTAGCCTCACCGCCTCCATCTAATGCACGATAAAATCTTTCAGTTACAACAGTTAGCAAGTCGGCCGTAGAGCGAGAGATCGAAAACCGTATTGATTGTCTGACAGTAGTTTATTTGACTCAAGATGAGATGTGAGGAATTTGTTGATCAAAGACTCAAAGACCTTGCTAATAACAGAAAGAAGATTGATCGGACGATAATTGGAAGGGTCAGAATTTTCTCCAGAGTTTTTGAACAAGACTCAGTCAAACACTTGTTAAATAGTTTAGAGAGAATTGAAGAAAGTTCTGGAGAACAATTCTGCAAGACTGTGACAGGAATGTTGTCTGGACCACAAGCTGTAGACGAGTTTAATTGAGATATGACTTTAGCAACAGAAGCCGGAGTGATTTGAATGTCTAACAATGGGTCAACCTGTTTGACTGGAATGGAAGGAAGAGAATGTCCATAAGATTCAAGAGTGGAATTAGAAGAAAAGTTCTTTGCAAATAGTTCTGCCTTATCCTTGGGAGAGGTAATAAGATCAGTCCCATGAATGAGAGATGGAATGTTAGATCTACCCTTGTTAATAATGCTGTTGAAAATTTTCCAAAAGTCTTTAGAGCCTAACTTCTGCGATAAGATGCGAGATTTAGTGAACTGATAATAATGGAGTTTAACATCAGAAAGCACCTTTTTACATCGATTTCTTGCAATAATAAATAGCCGTTTGTTCTCAAGAGAGTTGTTTTTTTGAAAAAGATGAAAAAAATGATTACGATTGGATATAGCAGCCGCACAAGAAGGAGAAAACCATGGAGTAGAATGAGGCCTGACTTGAAACCAACGCGAAGGAATAAAAGCTTCCATTCCAGCCTGAATCCAGGAGGTTACGTAGGAGGCGCATTTGTCAGCTGAGAGAGAAAAAATATCAGCCCAAGGACCATCACGAAGAAAATCACGAAAGGAAGCTTTAGGGTAGTAGTAGGTGGTGCGATGATAAGGTGAGCCCAAAAAAGAAGTACGAGAAGAAAGATTTATAGAGATCATTGCATTTTACATTTTAGATTTTTACATTTTACATTTTAGATTTACATTTTACATTTACATTTTACATATATATTTTACATTTACACTTTAGATTTACATTTTACATTTACATTTTACATTTACATTTTGCATTTTACAAATTAAAAATTTAATGATTCTATTGCTAATGAAAATAAGAATCAAAAAATCAGAGTAATCTTATAATATATGCATTTATAATATATGTACACAAATGAAGAGAGACGGCAGTTGTTTGTAAAGGCAAAGGAGACAAGAAAGAAGAGTTAGAAGTATATAAGTGCATTCAAGTGGGATCGGGGTTCAAAATCACTAAAAATTAAAATACCTTTTTTCAAGTTTTTCAAGTTTGTTTTTAGCTTGAATTGCTTTTTTTTTTTTTTTTTTTTTTTGAATAAATGATTGTGTTATGAACAAAAGGCCTGGGAATAAAAGCTGATAAAAGTTAGACTGTCAGAAATTCTGTTTGATAAAAGCAGCTAAAACAGTTAGAATATCTTTTGAATCTGGTGCTATCCATAAAGCTGTTGATATCGAAGATTAGGTGGTGTGGATTGAGCTTTTTATTATAATTGAACAAAGTTCCATTTAAAGTTGCAAAGTTATTTCTGTTTTTTTCTATATAATAATTTAATTAAAGTTTGGGCCTCAGTCAAATTTTGAATCATATAATTGAACAAATTATAGATGAAAAAAAGTTGTCAATTTTTCAAAAAAGATCTTTTCAAGCATTGCCAGTTTTTACAACAATTCTGTTTTCTTAGTTCTGGTTAATTTGTGGAATGATGACAGCTGCATAAGTCTGCGTGTTGACATATATAATGGTAATGATTTTTAAATGTTTTTAAAATAATTTTTGTAGGAATTAAATGAAACTAAAACAAGACCTTTGAATAATGTTCTTTATTTAAAAAATTGAAATGATTATTTTAATGATTGGTTTTATCAGAAATTTTTTTTTGGATAAAATTAAAATCAATTTCATTTTTTTTTTAATTTTATTAAAATTTCATTTCAAAAGTCAGCAGATTATATTAGTACTATTTTGACCTTAGTTTGCAAAATTATATATATGGTTCCTGGTCATGAAGTTAATTGATCTTATATTGGAGCAAGGCTTCTTAGCTGTTTTGAAGTCAACTTGCCTTGATTCAAGCAAACTCTAAAATAAAAACCCCAATTTAATTGTGGGTAAAGGTTGGAGAAATTTGTATTAATATAAAAAGTGTTGAAATAATAAAATACAATAAGAGAAAAAAACAAAAGCAGTTTCTATATAGCTTAACATGGAACATCACTAGTGATGTCATATTGAAATAAAGCCATAGCCCGGTCTGCAGTACATACATTGCCTAGGTTTAGACATGCAGTATCTACATGTATTGAATTACGTGAAAGAAAAAAGTTTCATATTTTCTTTTTTCTTTTCTGAAAAAAAATTGTTTTTTTATCTATCAGCTATCTTTTGAATAGAAAAAAAGGTATTAGTTAAAAGATATATAATTATAAACAATTTAAATGTATAATAGATGCATAATAAATTTAAATTCAACAACAATAGACAAAAAACCAGAATATTTTGAATTAAAAGACTCTTAAAAACACTTTAATTCAATTGTTTACTTTGTTTTAAAATTAAAAAAATAGTAAATCTTTATTCTTATTGAATTTAAAAAATTGTTATTTAGATATTTTAAATCCAGTAATTAAGAGGTTTCATATATTTATATATTACTATTTATAGATATATTATTTTATTTTTAAGAATTGTGTGCCTACTACTGAATGGCTGCCAAGGAATAACAAATGATTCTATTGTTCAAATTGCAGAAAAATATTCTGAAAGGTTATTTTTTTTATATAGTTTATACAGAAATAAGTTTTTTAAATTTATATATATATATATATATATATATATATATATATATATATATATATATATATATATATATATATATATATATATAGAGAGAGAGAGAGAGAGAGAGAGAGAGAGAGAGAGAGAGAGAGAGATGGATAAATAGATATAGATATATATGCCCTTTGTATTACTTTTTCTTTTTTTCTAGTAGTTTTTGTTTAGGATATAAAATATATATACTTTTTTAATCATACTAATAAAATACATATTACCTTTTTTTTTAACTATTACGTATGTTAATAGTTTCTTGAAACTTAATAAGTTCATTGTTGCAAAAGTTTTTTTTTTTTTTTAGTCTTAAAACGCTGGAAATATTTGGTTGCTTTAATGTTTCACCACAAACAATCAATAAATTAATTGAAAAATGTTTTCATATTAGAAAGTTAAATCTTGGTCAGTGTCATAAGGTATTAATTTAGAATTATATATAAAAAGCTTTTCTCTTAGCAAATGAAAATAAGTTTTTTTAGACATGGTTTTTACTTTAGATTTCTAAAATTTTTCAAATACAAGGGAGCAGATTTTAGGTGAGCTTGAGCAGAAAAATTTGTGTACACCAGCAGCACAGAAATAAAATTTGTGTACACCAGCAGCACAGAAAATTTGTGTACACCAGCAGCACAGAAATAAAGTATCATTAAGAAATATGGTTATAATTCATTTTCGAATTGATCCATATTTAATATTGTCAAAATCCCTTTAATATGTTCTTTATTGCAAAATAACATCGCACTTAAAAAACTTTTTTTTTTAATTTTATTCTTAGGGTTGCTATCAACAAAAGATAAAGCATACCTCATCTTAAAAGAAGCAAAATTTTATAAAAAATTTTTAAAAGCAATAATCACTTCATATAAAAGTTATTGCTTTATATTTTATTGCAAATAAATCAGTTTTTAACAAATAATGAACAAAGTTCAATTTGTCATCTTTTTTTTTAAAGAAAAAGATATTTATATAACTTTGCTTTTTTAAGAGCCATTTAGGAGATGCTAGAATAATTTTTTTTTGTGGATTATATAAGCAAACATTCAGAGCAATCGTTTTTTAATAGCTTTTAAGTGTGATCAATGTACAGAGCTCAATTTAACGATCGGACATAACCGCTCCCAGACTGTTTTTGAGATCTGATTTATGGGGGAAACCAACCATTGTTCATTTTTACTGAAAAAATTAAAAATTATTTGTTGCCCTCCTCTAGCAGGACTCAAGAATGGTCCAAGGGGCGGTGGAAACGAATGTGGAAACATTCTGGCAAGCTATTCGTAATTATTTTAACTCATCCATTTCATCACATGTTCCAGTATTTTGCAACAGAAAAAAAAAATCTAGCTATTTGAAAATTAGCCTCCAAAAATTGTTTTCTCTATAAAGGTTACAAAAGAACCATTAAAAAATCCAGCTTTGTCAAATACAAGGTTTGCTCTTGCTTATACTATGCAGAAATAAAAAAAAATTCTCTCTATAGAAAAAATATTATCTCTATCAAAAAAAAAAAAATTATACAAACTCTATAAAAAAAGTTTAAGATTTAGTTAAAAAAGCCATTATTTCCCAGTTTTATTATTTTGTAAAGGAAAGTTTATTTATGCATTTCTACTTCAACCCGATGGTTCTCTTAGTACAGATGGTTGTAAAAAATTGCATTTGTTGAACAAAAATTTTGTTACCAAATATGGTATTGTACTTGTCTTAGATTTAGCACACAAAAATTCCTTAAATAATGTAATATTTTCATACAATTCTGTAGTTTTGTTTTTACAAAAGTCTTCTAAATCCCTTGTTGGATATTCTGCTATTTTTCTGTTTCAATTGTCAAAAAATGTTATACCTAAAGTCTGGAAAACTGATATAGTATGTCCAAAATTAAGAAAGGAAACTCATCTTTAACCATTATCTATAAACCTATTTTTCAACATGAATTGTTTTTAAAGTTATGGAATCAATCATTGCAGAAAGCATTATTTACTCACCAATAAGTTAATTTCTGTGCATCATTGCAGATTTTTAAGACGTAGATCCATGCGACAATCTTAAACAGTAGGGCCACTCCTGTTAATAATAAAAGGAGAGTTGATGTCATACATATATTTTTTGAGAAAGTCTTTGATACTTTGAGCCTTTACTCAGAATCGCATTTATTTTTATTTCAAAGAGGTTCAGCACCAATATATAGTTTATTCTATCAGATAAACAATGTCATTTTTGCTTTACCCTGCAATTTGTTTGCTTCATACTCTAGAAAACAAACTTCTGCAGTATGAAGCATTGCAAACAGCCAAAATTCTATCCACACCTAAATTTATAAAGCACTAATACCTTTGATCAATTAGTATGGAAAGTAAGAGTTAGCAATTAAGCTTACGCGTTTAACTTACGCCATCTAACCTACGCCAAAACTTTTTTCAATTGAAATATTTAAACAGTCTTTTGAAATAGTTTATGTGGAAAATATTAGGCAGTAATTAGTTATTGTAAAATTTCACTGATTTATTAATTTTTTGATAAAAAAAAACAGGTAGTTTAATAAATAAAGTTTTAATTAAAAAAAAAACTTCTACTAAAAAATTTTTAATTTAAATTTGTATTGTTATGATTGAAATTTGTTATTATATATTGATAAATTTAAATTTGTTTTATTAAATTTAAGTTTTTTTAAAAATTTAAAACGCTTTATTTTACAATTTTTTTTTTACTTTTAAAATTTTCAAACTATGTTAAAGATTTTTTTTTTTATTGTTTTATCTAGAATTTTAATAAAATGTTTTTTTTTGCTAGGTTTTTTTAAACTACTTTTTTAATTTTGTTCAAATATTTTTACATTAAAATTATTTTTATATTTTTAATAATATTTGAGCAAATTAAATTTTGTTCAAATATTATTAAAAATATAAAATTTGAAAATACACAAAAAATTCATTTCAACTTTGGCCCATGCTTTGCATATAGATTTTTTTAGTGACTCAGTATTTCCATGGGGAATTTTGCAGGTCTCCTTCTCCACAGCCGTCCACATAAAAAAATCTAATGGGTTCAGATCTGGGCTAGACGGGGGCCACTTTAATTTGTACCAATACTGACTCATATTTTCACTGAGAATATTTTGTGTCTTTTTTGAAGTATGAGCTGGTGTCCCATCCTGCTAAAACACATACTGACCATCTGGATAGTTTCTGTTTAACCAGGGAATGACCTTCTCTTGCAGGAGGTGGATATATTCATCACTGTCAATTTTTTGACCTTTTTTCACAAAAACTGGTGGACACTTTTTTCCATCACTTGCTATCACGCCAAATACCATCACAGAAGCTCAAACAAAGAAATCTCAAACAAAGAAATTTTTTTGACGAAAATGAATACCTAATATTCTCAGTCTAAATTAAAATTAGGTCATAAAATCAAAACTTCCTTTACTGTTTTGGCAGTACCTTGTGTTACAACGGTTAATAACTTTATCCACAGTGAAAAGTTTTTTATCAGAGAAGATTGTCACACGCCCAGGGTAAGATTTTTGCCAGTTTAACAATTTTTTGCATCGCTTTTTCCTACGTTCTTTCTGTTTATTAGTGATAAGATGCTTAGTCACAACAGCTCTGGATTTAAGATTCAAATCTTTCATAACTTTTTGCATCGTGGAGTTGGCAACATTGGCTTCCCTTGCCAACTCGTGGATGGAGCGCAATGGATTTCGCTTGACTTTTCTTTTGACAGACCTTAAAAGCTGAGGTGATCGTTTCACAGGTTTTGGCTTATTAAAACGGTGTTTGATATCTCCTGTTTCATGAAATATATATATAAATATATATATATATATATATATATATATATATATATATATATATATATATATATATATATATATATATATATATATATATATATATATATATATATATATATATATATATATATATATTTGCTGCCCTATATCAAACCCTCAGTCGATGTAGCAGCACTCCATTGTGAGTCAGGCTATTTGTCAGTCGATGTATGTACTGAAGCCCTCAACAGCAGACTATTTCAGTATGATGTCAGATTGCTCACCTTATATATATATGGTAATATACCTTATATGTATATATATATACATATAGATGTTTGTATGGTTAATTAAATTAATTTGTTACTTGCATTTCAACGATCATGTGACTCCTTGATCCATTGACTGCAAATATGCAGTTTTGTTTGGGGAAAAAAATTTGATGTGGCTGATTTAAGATTCTCAATATTCAGATGAGTGGTGCAATTATCAATAACCAATGTTACTAATGTAAACTTTCTGTTGTTTTCTATGACCCTCTCATCAAACTTACTAGGGTTCATCCTGTTTTTTTTCTGCACGGTATCGGCATGGAGTGCTTCTAATTAGTTTTAAAGCAACAGGGTTAATTTAGTTTTACAATAAAAAACATTTGGTTTTTTATTGTAAAACTAAATTAAAAGTTTTTCTTGCAGTTCTTACCTCTATTACATTTCTCACCTTTTGAATGTATACTTTTTTTGGAAGTACTTTATAAAACAAAGTCATCAAAAAAACTTATCTGCATTGAATATATCACTGGAGTTGTAATGAGACAATATTGACAGCAAAGTTGTTTGCCTCCAAAGATCGGTCATTTCATTGGTAACATCTTTACTTTCACCTTTAAAAAATAAAAAAACAATTTTAAAATCAGCTCAAATTTTTTTAGTTACAATTTTGGACTTTATTTTCTATTTATGCTATTTTATGTGGTTTCATGCTGTGTGTGGTAATGAGCCAACTGCATTTTAATTTGACTTTATTTAAATTTAAAAAAAAAAAATTAGATTGATAAACTATTAACCTGGGCAATGGAAATAAGAGTTCCATGCTTATTATCATTTATTAGACAAATGAAAAATATTAATTTTCCATAAGTTTTTCTGTTTTCTGCATTTTTAGCAATGCAAATGATGATTGCAAAATTGTTATTTTTTTTCATTCATTGTTGTTATAAAAAATATTTAAACGTTTTTTTTAAATGGTAATCTTTGATACTAAAAAAATATAGTTTTTTCAAATGTTGTCTTTTCAAATGATTTGCAAAACTTTTTGCAATTTCTTGCTTTCATAATTACAATTAAATTATATTCGTTTTGCGTAATTTTAATAAAACATTTAGAAAGATTAGTTTTAAAGTAATTTCTTTTAAACGCAATTAAAAACATAAAAAGTAATTTTTGCTTTGAGTTTGAGTTTTTTAAACTTTATTTTAGTGCTAATATATTTTCTTTTTGTAAGGAATTATTTTCTTTTTTCATATATTTTTTTAATTTTGTTCCTAGTTTATGTTTAGCTAGTGTTTCTTTTTTTAAGCGCATTTCTTAAATCATTTCTAAATCATCTACAGTTGTAGTCAAGTTGTCAAAAAAATAAATCAATTGTGTTGTCAGCAATAGCGCTTAATTACACGCCATTCTTGTTTAAGCCTGTATAATGAGCACTGCTCTAAAGGGCTAACGTCTCTTGTGCCATCTACTAAAATTTGTGTTACTCATCATCCAATTAAGTCTCATCCTTTTTTCTGTTACTGTTCCTAAGTGCTTCTAAAACCTTTATTTGTCTAGTTTTTTTCCTCAAACACCAATTTTTTGGAATTCGTTTCCTTTATCTTGCTTTCCTCATTCATATAATTTGCAATGTTTTAAGTTGTCTGTCAATCATTATCTTGCTCTACAAACTTCATCTTTTCTCTTCAAGTAACTTCCAAAAATAGTGGTTGCTTGCAGCCTTGTTGGAAGCGAATGTGTTGAAAAAATCCTTTTAATAAATTAGATCATATTTAAAAACAATTACAGTCAGCATTTACATAAAGCATAAAAAAGTTACTGCAAATATTTCAAACTTACTAAATTTGCTCCAGGTATCATCTAAAAAACAGTAGCAATAACAGTATTTTACTACAATAAGAATCTTAAAGGTTTATATAATAGTAGTTAAAAAGTTTTTTTTTAATTTATGGCTCCTAAGTGAAATTTTAGATTTCACAAAAATCTGCTTTGCAAATGAGTTTAAAATTTAAAGAGATGCAAGTCTGAGAATTTTTAAACGACTTTGATTTAAGCTAAATTGCATCTTTTGCTCTTACTGTCTAAAATTTCTAATACCTATGACTCTGGCTTCTGCGTTCATCTCTGCCTGATGCTATTCTAAGATTTTAAAAAGTGAGTTTTTAATGACATGCAGCAATTTGTGGCTGAATTTTAAAAAAACTATTGATACATTCTGTTATCTTACTGTCATCTGAGTAATTTTTATATATCTAACAAAAAGCTTTCTAGAATAGACATGCTAGGTTGTTCAATTTTGGTAAATATTTTTGAGAAATGGTCATCTTTCAGAATTTGTTTATCTGGGATCCAATAAATATACTCTCTTTAAACTTTGCTTTTGTGGTTTTGAGTTTTTTATAATAATAAATAACAGTATCAATAACTTGTTTTGATTGTTAAATATATAAAGCTTAAAAAGCATTTTGGTCTTATGAGCTTTCTCATTGACTTTGAACTTAATAAAATGTCAACAAACATTACAGGATGAATGCAATAGAAACAAGAAACACAAAGTATTTATAAATCTTTTATAGACAATCATCAATCAATTTTTTCATATTTTTTTATGGTTCAGTAAAATGGACAGAATGTATATTAGAAATAGAAAAGTTTTAATATTAAAATATTTAAATATTTTTCCATATATGTATAAACTGTAATATTATTTATATATTATATATATTAAGTTAATTATAATTAATTGATTTTTTATGATCTTGTATTTTTTTCTCGGTTTCGTGTTTTTTAATTCTTGTCTTTTATTCTTGATTATTTAATTCTTAGTTTCCTCCTAGAATAAGTTTTTATACAAAAAAACAACTAAAAAATATTTATTTATCATTCACCTTCAAAATTTTAACAAGTAAAAAGTTGTACAATTAATAAAGCCACATCAGCTGATATAAAAGAAAAAAGTGCTTTAATTTTCTGATATGAGCTGATATAAAAGAAAGAAAATATGGCATTCCATTCTTAATGATTCCAGAGTTAATGATGTTGCATGCATTTAAGTTCCTATTTATTTGTATACTGGCATATAATATGTATATAACTAGCATATATCAATCAATACGCAGCATGCTGATGTCTTATGGAAATAAGACATCATCATGCTGCATATTGTATATATTGTACTTTTATTAATTTCATCAGATAAAGTAGTTTTAATATTGATTGCAGGTAACCAACAATTCAATATCATTAATTGCAAAACATTTAAAAAAACTACAAAGTCTTGATATCAGAGGGTGTATGCAGGTAAGTTGTTTGAAATTATCTTTTATTTTAAGAAATTTTTTATGTTATTTAAAACTACTTTCCACTATTGAAATTTTTTATATTAAATACTCAATTTTCTTAATTTTACAATGGTTTCAGCACATTTAATAAAGTGTATAGATTTTAAGTAAGTTATAAAGTGGTTAATTTTCTTAATTTTACAGTGGTTTCAGCACATTTAATAAAGTGTATAGATTTTAAGTAAATTATAAAGAGGTTAATGTATTAAATTTTACATTAATTCAGTTAATGTTGGTTTTTTACAGTTTATTAAAATTAAACTTTTTTTTATGATTTACATTAAACCTGTCTTGTTACATATCTTGTTATATTTTAATATCAAAATTTCATCTTTAGAAAAAAATCAGAAATTATATCAATGAATATCATATAAGCCTTTTCTACACTTCAGTTTTAGTTCAAGCCTCAGGGATATCTAGGTGCTTTTTGTTTCTTTAACAACCAGGATTTTAATTAATTAGAAATTTTTTATCTGTCAAGGATTTAAAGGGAAAGTGTTAAAGGAGAGAAAAACAAAGCTATATTTGGTGGCTCCTGAATTTAATAAATAAGCAAGTAATAAAAAATATTTATTGTTATCTTTGCGTATTTAGATTGACGCTGCCTTAATATATTTTTATAGTGTCTTAAAGGAAAAGCTAATAACAATGAAACAAATTTAAAGCACATTGAAAGTGCCTTAAAGGAAAAACTAATAACAATGAAACAAATTTTTTTTATTTTTGCATATTTTGATAATATGTACTTGCATGTCTAGATAATAACTCCCAAAACCTTGATTTAACTGAATTATTCAGTTAAGTCAAGGTTTTGGGAGGTCACAACTGCTTGATCACAACTGCTTGATTTAACTGAATTATTGATAAATGGTTTACACTTATGACCTCTCAAAATTCTACTATGGCTTTTAGTACAAAAAACAACTAAATTTACAATGAAACAAAAGCTTTTTTCAATGAAATTATGGAGGTACTATGTGGATTATATGTATTGAGCCAAAGTAAAAAACTAAGGTGGAAACTTATTCCATCTGGTGTTATTTTGTCAACAACCAAATATTCTTTTTCAAAAAAAAACTTTTAATATGAAATTGCAATTTACCCAAAACTACTAAAAAATATTTTTAACTGGTTCGTTCATAAAACAAGCTTTTCAATGCAATGACTTAAAACTTATTTGTGTTGCTCAACTCCTAAAAACATTACCAAAGTGCAGTTACAATACCCTATAATGGCCATCAATTCTTATTGTGTTAACTTGACTTTGTTAATAGTAAGGTGCACAATCCACACAAAAAATAGCACATTGTTTTACTCCAAGGTTTGAATCAAATATCAAGTTTAATCTTGAGTAATACTGAGCCAAACTGTTTTTTTAAAATGTATAATAATGTATTTTTTTTAATATCTACAAGTTCTAGAGTTAAAGAGATTTATAGAATTTTCCTAATTTGTTTTGAATCTCAAGTTTAAAAAATTCAGACCTGTAAATATTTTCCCTTAAGAAAAAAAAAAAGAAATAAAAAAATTATTTTGAACTTGGTAGCAAGATATGACAATGCATGCATTCGCTTTGAAAGAATTCAACTAAAACTAATTTATAAAAAAATTAAAAACTTTTATCAAGTCTAAACCTTTTGTTAAGTAACTTATAAATTACAAGTAATTTTTTGACTGGTTTTTTTAAGGAATTTATTTATATGCCAAATAAATTTTTGTTTAATAAATAATTTTATTCAAAAACTGCAAAAAAAAAAAAAACATAAAATATTTAAATTTTCATAACAAATTTTTTTTTTTACAATTGCTTTTACTTAAATTCATTTAAATCACGCGCTAATTTGGCAAAAACATGGCCGCCATTTTCCGTATGTTGCCTCCCTGAATATATAGGCTTTCTAGTTCAAACAACATAAGTCTGGAGTATATATAGTAATAGTGTTTCAATACTATTTAACAAGTGCTTAATTGAATATTGTTTGCCTGTTAACTTTAAAATGACATCAAATAATATAATGAGCTGTTTTCCTTTTTGTGTTTTTTTTTTTTTTTAATGCGAATAAAATATCAAATGTTATGATAAGAATTTTCTTTAAAACATATTGAAAATGAATAAAGTTAAAGTTGAAACATTTAGAATTAAAAAGTATTAAAGCACAAACGTCTATTTGAAAGAACTAAAGTATTAGTCAAAACTTTGAAAAAATTACACAAAAAAAAAGTGTGTATATACTGAAGTTAAAAAAGAGGTTTTGTTGAAGCATGAAGCATTTTTTAGATGTGAAAAGTTTGTTAAAAAACTGAAGGATACATCTATGCGCATTTATATAATACATCTATACACATTTTATGCAGAATCTATGTCAATGTGTCTTTTTTAAGTTAATCAACTTTAAAAATGATTTAAAGAAAAAAATTGGAAAAAAGTATCATCACTTGTAATCTCGATATTATGTTTGATCTCACTTTATTTGTCTACTGAAACAAATGGCAAAAATAGCAATTGTTCTTGTTTTAAATGTTCTCTGCTGCTGAGGTTTCTACTGTTCTACTGTTTTAAATGTCCTCTGCTGCTGAAGTTTCTTCTGTTTTACTGCTGATTTGTTAACTATTATAACAGAAAGATTCATGCTTTAGATGGAATTGCTGAGATTAAAGCAGTTGCTCGTGATACTTTAGATGGAATTGCTGAGATTAAAGCAATTGCTCGTAATACTTTATGGCTTTTAACAAGCTAAAATGAAAAGTTTTTGCAAGTAATAATAAAATGTAAAGTTTAAGCAAGTTTGATAAAATGAAAAATTTTAGCAAGTTTGTTAAGATGAAAAATTTTAGCAAGTTTGATAAGATGATAAGTTTTAGCAAGCTATTAAGTATTACTTTTTAATTGTTTTTTTATACTGGAAAAAGGTTTTTACTTTAAAAAAAAGAGACTTTTTTAAGTAAAAATTTTTTTAAGTTGATTTAATCTTATGTAAAAAAATCTTATTGTAAACTAATCAAATACATTATCAGAGTTTAACAAGAATTCATCAAACTAAATAAATCTTTAACAAATCATAAATTATTCAACAAAATAATTGATTTTTTAAAATCAATTATTTTGTTGGTATTTAATAAATTATTTTGTTGGTAATTAATATTGTACAGTACTCTTCTTCTTATTCTGTAACCTCAGGGGCTCCTCAAGGTTCAATCCTTGGCCCTATACTCTTTTTAATTTACATTAACGATCTATCAGATATTCCCACATCTAAGGTGGCATTGTTCGCTGATGATACTACCATTTATTCTTGTCATGATAAGAAGCCAACTCCCTCTGATTGCTTGCAGGGGGCATTTGAGCTTGAAAAGGATCTCACTTTTATTCAGGTAAAACTCAATTTTTTTTAGCCAATTGTTATTGAAATAATTTAGACTTTCCTATATTTATGAACGATAATGTACTCAATGAGTCATCTACCCTTCATCTTTTAGGAGTAACTCTTACTTCTGATCTTTATTGAAAACCATATATCAAATCTGTTGCAAAATTAACATCTGCGAAAGTTGCATTTCTTTATCGAGCTCGACACTTTCTTACTCTGGATTCTATTTATTATCTCTATAAATCTCAAATCCGGCCTTGTATGGAACACTGTTGCCATATCTGTGGCGGATCTTCTAATGATGCCCTTTCTCTTTTAGACAAGGTGCAATAAACGCATTGTAAGTTGGACCTGCTATTGTAGCCAACCTTCAACCATTATCACATCGTCATAATGTTGCTTCTCTTTCTCTTTTCTACAAGTACTTTAATGGGTACTGCTCTAAAAAGCTAGCATCTCTTGTGCCATCTACTAAAATTCATTCTCATGTTACTCGTCATTCAATTAAGTCTCATCCTTTTTCTGTGACTGTTCCTAAGTGCTCCAAAAACTCTTATTCGTCTAGTTTTTTTCCTCAAACATCAGTTCTTTGGAATTCGCTTCCTTCATCTTGCTTTCCTGATTCATATAATTTGCAATCTTTTAAGTCGTCTGTCAATCATTATCTTGCTCTACAATCTTCATCTTTTCTCTTCCAGTAACTTCCAACACTAATTAGTGGTTGCTTACAACCTTGTTGGAAGCAAAGATGTTTAAAAAAAAAAAAAAAATCTTTATATAATATATAATAAACTACTTTATATAATATATAATATACTCTTTTAATATTATTTATTATTATTTTATATAATATATAATATACTACTCATTTAAGCTTTTAATTGTTTAATTAAATGTTTTTTTAAAAAAATTGTTTAATAATTTTGATTTTAAATTTTTTGTGATGATAGGTTCGCGATAATTCTCTTTGTGAACTAATAGAGAACTGCCATGAATTAACATCTCTTGTTGTTGCCAATTGTCCTGCAATCACTGATATAACTTTGTATAGTTTATCTAATCACTCTTCAATTATAAAGTAAGACTTTATAATAGTGGCTTATTTTATAGTTTATTTTGTAAAATCAGATAAATGCTGTTGTTTTATAAAATAAAAAACGAAACGAAATGTTAAAGAAATTGGGTAAAGTGATGATTTAATTATATAAAAAATTATATATGTGTATATTAATGAATCATTGTTATTAATAAGTTGATGAATTTAGTTTGTAAATAATTTAATTGTTTGAATTTAATTGTATTGATTGCATTTATTGTTTTTATTTATTTTTATTGTTTCTATTTGATTGCTCTTTTCAGAATTAAATTAAAAATAGGATTAGTATAAATCTTTCAGTAGAATTTTGAAGTCAAATTCATTCGAGAATAGACTTACTCAAATGAATGTATATAAAGTTTCTCAAATCTAGTAAATTTTCATCAAAGCTTACCAAAAACATGTTAATGAAGTAGGTAATTATGCAAATTATGAAAAACAGGAAATATCTGGCTGTTTGGCTGCTCTTAAGCCAAAAAAACCAAGCACGTAGTTAAAAAAAACTTTGAAAAAGAAGTAGCAAGTATTTTATTTAACAATAACAGTGACCATGAGTAAATTTTTAATTGGTCATAGAAAATTTTTTAATGTTTTTGTTTTTAGAGCTTTATGTGTGTAACCAATAATGTCATTAATGATTTTAATGCAATGTGCTTCTCTTGTAAAAGATGTTTATCAAATTTTTTCTCTTGTAAAAGATGTTTTTCATCAGACACTTTTCGTAAAAGTGCTGATTTGAAGATGGATGCTGTTTTGCATAAAAAATAAGTTGTGTGCATGTGTGTTTTATATATCTATATATATATATTTTTATGTGAGTGATTTATATATATATATATATATATATATATATATATATATATATGTATATATATATATATATATATATATATATATATATATATATACATATATATATATATATATATATATATATATATATATATATATATATATATATATATATATATATATACATATATATATATATATATATATATATATATATATATATATATATATATATATATATATAAATATATATATATATATATATATACATATATATATATATATATATATATATATATATATATATATACATATATATATATATATATATATATATATATATATATATATATATATATATATATATATATATATATATATATATATATATATATATATATATATATATATATGTAAAAATTAGGACAATAACCATTAAACTATTACTACAATTGAATTACTATCACTATAAATAATATTAATAAGATTTCTAGAACAATAATGAAAAAATAAAATAATGATAATAGTAATATTAGTAGAGTTAAAAAAGACAGTATAAAATAAAAGTAATAATAGTTTTATAAATATATAAAAAGCAATAATAATAAAAGAAAAAATTAATATTTATTAAATATATACTCAAATAAAAACTTTTTAATTTGGTTTCAATTGAGAAGAAATTTAATAATAAAAGAAAAAATTAATATTCATTAAATATATATACTCAAATAAAAACTTTTTAATTTGGTTTCAATTGAGAAGAAGAATGTTAATAATAAATTGGTATTTAGTTAAAATCTTTTTTTTTATAAATGGTATTGTTTGGTTCCAGTGAGAAATACATTGATGTTTTATAAAGAGCTTGCCATATTTGATAGTGTTGAAAAAGGAAGTGTGCATGTTAAAATTTTTAGTATTTCAAGTGTAATATTTGTGTTTCATCTGTTTTAATAAAAAAAATTATTGAACAAATTTGGTAGTTTATTTTGAAGAAAATCAAACACTAAGAGACAATTATAAAGCTTTACACGATCTTGAAATTTTAGAATTCAGAAAACCTATTGTAGATATTAGATCATAAAGGAAAAAATGTCATAATTCTTAAGGAAGTACGTTGTAAACTGTTTATACGATGTAATAGAAAACTACCTTTTTGACGCCAAATAGTGCAACAATAACTTAGAGGTGAGGAGAACAAGGAATAATAAATTGATATAAGAATATGTTGGGGAACATAGTGTCGTATTAATCTCTTGTTTCTACACTTGCATGGATTAGAAGTTATTGCTGTTTCTCAAATATACATGATCTCGAGTAACTTCTATCCTTATTTAAAGCTTTTTAATGTTATCTGTAAATCACTCTCTAAGTTTTCCTAATTCTACCTCTTCCCTTTTCTCCTGAACTCTCTACATGCTGATACCAAATTATCTGGATCTTTAAGCTCTGCATCCTTAAACATTTAATTTTTATTAATGCACCCTATTAGATACACTCACTATATTAACTTTCCATGCTTTGCATCATAACACTTTAGACTTCTAGTGTTCAACTTTTCTTTAATGATGCGCCTTTTGCTGTTAAAAGTGATAATTTTAATAATCATATTTTGGAGTGGAAATAATAAAAATTAAATATTAGTTGAAATATTATTTTACTAATAAATATTTTATATTATATTTTGGTTTGACGTTATATTAATATTGATTGATATTATTAAATATTTGGTGTTTGATTTATATTTAAAAGACTATATTTGATGTTTTGCTTTTGTTTACTTTAAAAGTTTGCTATCCTTTAGAGTTTAGTGAATGTTTTGATTCAATAATTTTTGTTTATTATGTCATGTGGTTCATATAAGTATATAACATTAGTTATTTTAAAGCAATATTGAATCACTTTAAGAAATGACTATTTATGTACAAAAATTTATTTTACATGTATTAATTGTTGCATGGTTGCTTGAAACATTTTTTTTTTAACTTTTTATTTCTCCGTATTTTTTTTTTTTTAATTTATATTATTTAAATTAAATTTTATTGGCTTTTACCATTCAGTTTCATGATTTTTACTAAATGGTATGGTTTTGCTAACTCTACCAATATCATTTATTTTCTTTTTTAATAGTTGATATTGTTGATTTTTACCCTTCCATAAGGGAAAAAAATTTTAACTTTAGTTGAGCACTGGCTATTGGCTCCAAGCCTAAGCTGTTAATTCACACAAGAATGTCATTGCTATTTAATAATTATCAAGTTTAGATTAATTAAAATCAAACATTTAATTAGAGCTTTCAATGGTGCAGAGGTATGCGAACTTGTGGGAATTTTATTTTTGTTTCGGGTTATACAATTTATAACAAAAATGATTTTTGGATTATACCATAATGATGGTTTATTGATTTTTAAAAGTAAGTGAGTGGTTTCCATTTTTAAAAGTAAATGAGTGGTTTCCAAAAAAGTAAGTGAGTAAATTTTTTTAGTTTTTTTCCAAAAAAGTAAGTGAGTAAACTTTTTAGTTTTTGTCTGTTTTTCAAACAGACAAAAACTAAAAAGTTGTTAATTTTTTTTTGATCGTTTTATATTAACAGAACATGAAAGTTGTAAATTGCGTCATTACATTAAAAACTCTAATGATCATGCTCCCACTATTAATAAAATCTAGATCCACATTGTAAAAAGAATATCTGTGAAATAAATTGTAGGCATAGAAAAAGGTTTCTCTGAAAAATTCCCAATTTGGCATCAGAACTCATTTTTTAATTGGTTTTTGTTTTGTATTTTTAATGGATTTATGCATAATATGCATGAAGCTTTAAATTTTATATCAGAAAATATATAAATTTTATTTTTTTAATGATCAATGATAAAGCATATTTGATGATCAATGATAAAGCATATTTTGCTGCCTAATATTAGGCAGCAAAATATGCTTTAGGTCAATTAATATTTAATTGACCTAAAGCATAATATCATATAAATTAAATATTTTAAATTTTATAGTTTTTATTTTCAGAAATCTAGATGCATGTGGTTGTGGAAAAATTACTGATAAAGGAGTTCGTTCATTGGTTAAAGGTTGTACTAAATTACAGTCTCTTGACTTAAGCTCAACTAAAGTCACAGGAAGAAGGTTTGATTTAAAAAGTTTTTAAATAAATGCAATATCCTGTTAAGTACTCTAACATTAAAAAAAAAAATTATTCAATTTGAAGCACCTTTTTATTTAATTTTATTTAGCTATAGCTAAATAAAATTATTAAGTTTGAGGGACTACAAAAGTACTCATCTCTTTTTAAGAGGTTTTCGATTGAAGTTATTTTTACTTCAGGTTTTTTTAAGCTACAAATTAGATAATTTGGTAAAATATCAGTTTATAAAATTAAAATAATATGATATGAAAATACTAAAAAAAATGTTTTATTTCAAAAACACAGTGCAAGACTTCTTACAAAATATTTTGAAGGAGATTTTGGAGATTTCCTTTGTGTCGATAGAGACAAAATTTGTCTTTAGAGAGATCATTAATTTAATGAAAGCTTGGAATATGTGAGGGTTACAAGACAAATAAAATTTTAAACGTAAAGGTAAGGCTTACAGTAAAACTGTAGAAATTTCCTGGTTAAATTTAAACAAGTTAAAAAGTTGGAAAGAAAGCAACTGCATGTTATTATTTACTATAGCAGTGCAGTTGAAGTAGTAGCAATTTGAATAAAATTTTTTATTAAAATTGTTACTACTTCAAATTTTAAATAAAAAAATTTGTTTTGCTCAGAATGCTGTAGAATAGTTGGTCCTGGTCATCCTTACAAAGAAAAAACAACTGTTTAAAGTCTACATTTCTTAATTACTTTAAAGAATCAAAATGTTTCTTGTACACTAGGAAGAATATGAGGTGAAATCATTTAAAGAGTGTCAGAAACTTGTTTATTGTACTATCTATCAATCTGTAAACACTTTTCTAACTCCTTTAACTCAATCAATTGAAGTTAAAACTTCTCAAGCCTCTAATCTCAAACTCATTAACATCATTCTTGAATTATCTGAAAGTACCTTATTTCTTTTCCTGAGAATTATGATGCAATGTAAATTTATAAGCAGTACCTATAAGTTTAAAATGTAGGGTCACATTAGAAAACACTTATGTTGTTATAGTGGTGGGTCGATGGATGAGAAAAGAGTTCAAATGAATTTTTTGTCAATAGCAGAGGAATTTAGAAAGTAGTTCCTTGATAGCAAACCTCATATACAGATGTAATATTATGTAAATTTTATTAATCAATGTCTGTTAGATACGTTGACTGGAAAAATTATCCACATAATTCCACCCCTGAGTATTTGTGAATTTGATATTTGTCCTTCAACATTATTATATATATATATATACCCTTCAACATTATTAAATTAAATTTTTATTTGTTTATTCTCACAACGACTGATATAAAAAAAATGTACACAAAACTGTTTCCATTACAGCTATGTGATTTCATTGTACAAAGGCATAGTGAGCCAGAAATCACTTTTACTGGACAAAACTAATAATTTGTCATATAAAAAAAGATTTAAGAACTATTTTTGCACTGTTTACTAATTTGAGGATTGCAGTTTTAATGGTGACATTATTATTAACTTTGGGTTGCTATGGATTCCTTAAATTGCTTAGCAACCACATATTTTATTACCTTAACAAATATAAATTAGAAAAAGTAATAACTTTATTGTATTTCTCCCATAATTACCACATTAAGTATTTTGATACTACAAATGCAGTGGTACTATAAATTTTTTATTTAGTTGATAATCTAAAATGCTTGACGCTTCATTTTGCATAGCTTGTTTTCGTGATGGCACTTGAATATTATTTCTGTTTTTTTATCTATTAATTCTTTTGTACATTTGTATGATATTATGCAAAGTTTTTAATGAAGGCAAAGCAAGCATTTTTTTGTTATGTTGCTGTAGGCGTGGACTTGTTTAATTATTGACCAGGTTAATTTGGGTGTTATTTTCAAGTCTTCTTTTATCTGCCATATAAACTTTGAAAAGGTGATTGAATTTTTGTTTGTGAATGAGTGTTTGTGGTTAGCCCGTCTTTTTTTCCATTCACCTTTTGCTAGGCCATTATATACTTTTTCTGGAGTGTTAGTTTGGCGATACTATACATTTGTAAATGATGTTTTTGGCTCAACATTTTCCTTTTATAGGGCAGTTTTCTTTATTTTTGTAATTACAGGGTGGGTATTCTTTCGGTCTTTTTAAAATGATTTTCTTGTTGTGGTTTTTTATTATTCTTTTGATATTGTTGGTTCAACTGTAACTCACTTAGACAGTATTTTGATTGAATAGTTTACTTAGGGTGGTGGTATGCTGGAAAATGTTTATCAATTAAGTTTAGAAAGATATGTCTGACATTGGTAGAAACCCTTTTACTATACAGGGGATTGAGCCATATTATATTTTTCTTTTTTACTCTTTTTTGGGGGTTATACTTTAAATTAAAACCAGTAATGCTATTTCTTCTTAATTCATTTTTGTATTCTGGTATAGATAAATTAAATGTTTTTTCATCTGAGGAATTTTGTGATAATCTGTCGTTAATAGAAATGGGGATTTGCTTTATTATTTGCAGAGGATGGTTGGAATCAGTGTGGATGTAACAGATTATAATTTGGTTTTTTGAAAAGTTGATAGGAGTTTTTTTCTAAATTAAAAAATACATCTAAGAAGTTGACTGCGGGTAGGTTTGTTTGGATCTTTATTTTTAAACTAATCATTTTTATACTCTAATTTTGTTTTTTCGTATGCTATCAATTTGTTTTTTTATGAAGTACCATCAGACCATTGTCACAATATAATCCAACGTCTTCTTTATTTATTATTTTAGATAGTGAGTCTAATATATATAGGCCCACTAGTTCGCAAATTTCTGGGCGTCCTATGATTCAACTGAATCCCTAATTTCAATTTAGAACCGAATATGAGAAATTTATTACACAACCGAAAATATTCACGAAAAAAATTAGAATCGAAAAAATTTCAATCGAATTTTCGATCGTAAGTCATTAATGGTTTTAGAACCGAATTTCATTAAAATGGTTTACAACCAAAAGTTGTAGCACCGAATTTTTTTAGCGCTTATAATTATTTTTAGTTTAATGCTTTTGTAATATAAGTTTAATGCGCTTACTGTTTTGAATACAGTCTTACATAATAAATTGAAAAATAACATTGTTTGTTTTCAAAAACTTCTCGTAGTTGGTGGAATAATAACAACAGAATGGAGTATCAAAAAGTTGAAGGCGAAAGGAGAAATTCATTCCTCTACATAGCTGGAAATAATTGCTATGTAAAAAACAAGAATCAAAACGGTTACATTTATTTAAAGTCCAAAAACTACAAAGGAAGTGATTTAACTTGAGACAATGCGAGGCCACTTGTGATTCCAAAACAGAAGATTTTAGCCATTTGGAAGCAATGGAAAGAATATGACTCAAAGCTGCAACTACACAAATTTTATTACACCAGATTTACATGGAAATCATGCGAGGGTGTCCTGAAAATGTTTAAAAATCTTTATCCTACTTAAAATGTGAACAGATACTTCGTTGTGCAAGAAAAACTCAGTACAGTGCAAATCCCAACAGTGTAGAAAAAGCAGTATTGGCAATATCTGAGCCAAAACCATTTACCAACATTCTGAAAGGAATCGTCAGATTTGAAGACCAGTTGGCCATACTATTTTGTTCATTAACACTACTACAAATACTCTCAGATAGCACAGTAATTTAGCTCAAAATTGATGACTTTTTGTGAATTTTTTTTTAGAAATTTCTTTTAACCTTAGCTTGCTCATAATATTCTGTTTTTGTTAAATTTTTCAATACTCTTACAAATTTATTCATTTTTTTCAGGATCTACAATTATTTTCATTGATGCAACATTTTGCATTATGTTCCTAGCATCTTCAAAGGAGGTCAACTATTAAATATCTCCATTATGCATTGTGACATTGTTCTTTCTGTGTTTCATGTACTTATGACTGGGAGAAAAGAAGGTATTTACATTGCTATATTTAGAAAAATTAAGGAACTTTCAAGTGACTTTCAACCACGAATTTCTATGGCTGACTATGAAGCCGCAATAGGCAGTACCAGAAGGTTGTCTTCCCTGAAATAAGATTGACTGATTGCCAGTTTCATTATGGCCAGGCAGTTTTAAGAAAAATCAAAACTGTTGGTCTTCAATCTGAGTACATCAACAACCCTGCAATTAAGAGGTGGGGCCGGAAATTCGTTGCCATGTGCCTCTTGCCTTGTGTTCTCATCAAAGCAGAAGTAGATTTACTCAAAACAGAGATGAGTAGATTTGCAAACATTGAAACTCGTGAAAAAATGAGAAAGTTTGTGTATTACTTTGAGAAGTATTGGATGACAACACAAACCCCAGCTTTTTTTCTGTGCATGGACTTCAATTCAAAACCAACAATGTCTCACAATCACTGCATTCAAAAATAAATAGATATATGGCTGCTCACCCTAGCTTCTGGAGGTTTCTAGACAATATATATCATCAGGTATTGCCATATTTAAATGAATATTGTAAAGGATAAATTCCGTTGATTAAACTCATAATAAAGTAACTTGATTTATTTTGTAATCCCTTAAGGCATTAGGGTCTCTTCTGATAGGTGCGAATCATCATATAAATTAGCTATCATAATTTCACAATCGCACTACTTAAATTTGTACCAAGAAATATTTTACAAATCAAATCATTTATTCATATTTTAAAACTGCTTGAAAATGTGATTTATTTGTGACAATTTGCTCATATCTGCCCTTAATAACATTTTGATGATACATATGTAATCTTTATTGCATTTACAATGTCAATCTTTGTTTGCTTAAATTAAACTTATTATTGTGAAAATGCATCAAAAGATTTTTTTAATGAAATTTTTAGATAATTTTGAATGCAGAACTGGAACTCAACCAATCGCAGAATGGTCATCAACCTCGAAGAGGACAAAGAAGAGAGCGTTCAATCTTTTGAACGATTACAAAGTTATAAAGAAAAACTTTCCACAGGAGAGTGGACTCCAACAAAGTTTCTTGAGGCTTGTTTTGCTGTGTAGACACTTTTGTATGTGTCTTCAATGTTCAGATAACCTTGCAAATGACGGAAACAAAAGATGTCCAATTTGTCGTTTAAAAATTGAAAACTTTTAAAATGTTTTTGTCTCTTAATTAAAGGAATTGTTTGATTATTTCCAGTGGAGTAGCAAGGAATTTTAAAAATTTTAAAAGTTACTTTATTATTAAATAGACGGATAAATAGGTTTATTTTTTATTGCTGTATGTATGTTGATATCTCCTGAACTCTAAATAGAGAGTTAATATAGTTTTTGCTGTACTTAAATACATTAAAAAAATTGTATTTCTTCTAATTTTATCAAGTCTTTTAAGTCATTTTAAGTCTTTATTTCTCAGAGTTCCAGACCATGCGTTAGCGTTGAAATGCGAATCTGATACCAAATTGAATCAGAGTTAGCACAGTTGTTTGAAAATTTGATACCCTACTGGTAATATTTGATTTATTTAGTTAGACAAAATTGGACTTTTCTGTATCCCACATGTAACCCATATGATTAAGTTTTTCATTTGGTATCATTTGATGGTTTTCAGGGTTAACTTGCAATTAGTTACTAGTCGCTTTCCGGAAAGCAAAACTTCCGTTTTGACAGCATTGAGTTTAATGCCATTTATTTTATTGTAATTGTTACACGCTGTTATAAGCCTTTGAGGATCAGATAGAGTAGAGTTAAGTAGAATGAATGAGTTTAAAAAAAAAACATTAAGTTGCAGTTTCATTTTTTTGTGCAGGAACTTCTAAAATTTCTTTAAAATTCGAGCAGCAATTATTGTTTTATACACTTACATTGGAGGCCGAATAAAAAAAAAACATTTGCTTAAACTCAGCATTGTTAAAAAAACTAAAACCGCATCTAAACTAAAATGGGAATCCGTCAAAAAAAATATTGATAATGGCACAAAGGTCTCACTGAATGTTCCTACTGTGCAGTGGCGTAGCTAGGATTTCGGGCGCCAGAGGCAATGCTGGAAATAGCCGCCCCCTGAAGCAGACATAAAACTAAAAAAAATTACTTAATGTTTCCAAGTTAATGGCAATTTTAATTTTTAAAATGCAAAAGCTAATCATAATGCATACTCAAATTAACTCATGTTTCCAATTACGTATCCATTATTGTTCGTGTAAATTAGTCATTGAAAGTGACATATAAATAAAAAAATTTGACCTTTATAAATAAAACTTAGTTCTGCAGCCAACTAGCCCTAGTTGGCTAGGTCTTCCCTACTGTCAATAAAGTTAAATGTGTGAATTTAAATTAGTTTTAGTGTTAACAAAAACTAAAAATCTTTTAAAAATCAAATTGAAATAAGTTTTTTAAATTTGAGCAAAACGCTATATCACATGAATTTAATAAATTTTTTACTTAAATAAGTCCTGAATCATCAAAGAGGATCCCTATTACCAGAACTTTATTTAGTGACTTCTTATTACCCTTGGAAAAGTGCATATTCTCTGATGAGCTATCCTCTGATTTATCAATTGAAGAATTCGAAAAGGCATTGAAATCTTTTTTTTTTTTTTAAATCATGTGGACCAGACAAAATAAATGGAAACAAGATTATAGATTTACCTCAATTAAACAAGGAATTTTTTCAGAACAATTAAAAAAATGTCAGTTATATCTATTTATAAAGAGGATAATCAATCCCGAATAACTAATTATCGCCCAATTTGTGCTCTCTGTATTCTCAAAAATCCATTTTATATATTCTGTTGCACATAATTCTCATAAGAATTATGTGCAGCAGAATATATAAACACCTTGAAAAAATTAACCTACACTATGTTAATTAATTTGTTTTTAAAAAGGATAGCTCAACAGAGCATGCAATTATCTAAGATGAAATTTCAAATTCTTTTGAACAATCAAAATATACATTAGGTATTTTTATCGACAGCCTTCGATACGTTTGACCATCACTTTCTACTCGAAAAACTGAAATACTATAGAGTTAATAAGCAAGTGTTAAAGTGGTTCAGAAGTTATTTAACAAACAGAAAGAGAAACTTTTGGCGCAAGAAAGGATTTTGTAATTCGATCCTGTAATCAAAGTATACTTTTCGGTTCTAAAATGTTCGGTTGTGAAATATTTCTGTGATATTTTCGAGGATAAATATTTTCGGTTCTATCATGTGACACAAGTTTCTGCACCGTCAAAACAACCCATTGTGACAACAAAACAGTTGTGTGCTAAGTTTTTCTTCCGTGTACCGTTGTTAAAAAATACCAAGGACTTTCTGCAATGTTTAATGACTCTGATGTTCTCTTCGCTAAATTAAATAATTAAGCAAGTCCCGGCCTTCAGCAACATAACCATGTTTGCCTTCAAGAAAAACTTTGCATAATATCATATAAAGATAAGCAAGAATTATTAAACAAAAAAACAAGTTCTTGCTTGACAACCACAAGCCCAAAGATTAAAAAACCAAACCACACTCGCAAATAGTAACAGTTTTTTAATTGTTTGAACGTCACGATGTTTATTAAGAGTAATTTTTTTAATGAAAAAAATAATGTATTTTTTACCTGATAGTTGCAAATGGATGAAACTTTTAGTAGTAAAAATCATGTAGTTATTTTTATTTAATCTTGTCTAAAAATCAATTATATAGCAATTATAAATCAATTATATCAATTATATATAAAATTATATGTGTTTGTATATAAATATATATATACACACATATATATATATATATATATATATATATATATATATATATATATATATATATATATTTATATGTATATATATATATTTATATTTATATATATTTATATTATATATTTATATATATATATATATATATATATATATATATATATATATATATATATATATATATATATATATATATATATATATATACAAACATATATAATTTTGCTGTGAGCATATATTCAGCAAGATTGAGATAAATGATATCAGAGCATGATATCAAAAATTGATTTTTAGACAAGATTTAATAAAAATAACTACATGATTTTTACTACTAAAAGTTTAAATACTAAAATGTTAATGGTGCATTTTTTTACTTAGAAGCTTTTCTCAAAATTTTCTAATATAGAAAACATAGAAAATGGTTTATATGGAGAAAAAATTGCCTTTTAAATAGGTTCATGTAGTTAAACACCAAAAGATGCATAATTTTTTTGAAATTTACAACATTTGGTTTGTAATATCTTGATGACGATGATTTTGCAACAACCTTTTTAAAAAGTTTTGCAGAATATTATACAACTAATTTTTTTAAAATGACATTGTGTTTTTTATTTAAGTTACAACAATAATTATACTTTCGTAAAAAAAAATTATACTTTTGCGAAAGCCGTAAATTGCTCCCGTAAACCAGGAAAGCGGGAGGCCTGTATATATATATATATATATATATATATATATATATATATATATATATATGTATTTCAATTTTTATATTATGTTTATATATTTATTTTAATCATTATGTTTGTATTAAATATTTTTAATTTCAATTGTAGTGTTATCTCAATTTCGACTTTTTGTTCAAATACATTGCAATCATTAAGATTAAGTTTCTGTAATGCTTTAACTGATGCTTCTCTTTATGCACTTGTCTCTAAATGTCAAAAGTAAGTTCTTATATACTTTTTACTATGTTTTGATTTTAATTTATGTATTTTTGTAAAACTATTTTAACAGTGAGCACTCTGCATTTTGTAAGTGAGTACTTTGTTTTTGTTTTTTAGTTTAGAGAGTAACATCAGACTTTCTGAACTTTTTTTTTTTCTTGTAACATTATTTATCTCCCACCTAGAATTTTGAACAGTGTTTACAGTTAAAAGTTTTGTTTCTTATCTTCATTTTCATATTTTGGCATAAACTCATCATACCAAAAGCTTGTTCAGAATGATCCATTACAACAATTAATGTTTTGGCAAATTTTTTCTAAATTCTGAAACAAGGACTGGGTGTGCCAATAATGGGGTGGAAGTGACAACCAGTTTCTTCCTCTCTGATCTTCTAAACTGTCTATATAACATGTATGCTTTTAAAGATGCTAACACTGTTAACTGCTTCTGGTTTAGAGAAAGTTTTCTTATGCTTTTTTATCTGAGCAATTACATCAAGATCAGAAGAATGAGCATAAATTGCTTCATGTGCTGGAAGATACCAGCTTTTGTAAAAACATATTATGAGCTCACAGATGAGTTCCAAATTTTCCTGTTGATTATTGTTTTCCTACACAAGGTAGTATAAACTCTTGCTTAAAAACGTAGCATGGTGAATATCTCCTTTCCACTTTTCTTTTGAAAATGTGAAAAGAAAATTTGAAATGTGCAGAAGGGGTTAAGTACTGCCTGTTTATTTCAGCCAACTCTCTTTTGTCACTCTTCATATTGTATTTTTAAGTTATTAAGGTCTGACAGTGATCTAAATTTTGTAATGCAGCTTCCTTTATAACTGTTTCTTCGATTATCTTTTATTCAAAAGAGGTTATTATGTCATATTCATATTCAGAGTTTTTAAACATGTTTAAATTTTACGAATAAAGGACTTTTATGCCTTATGCTTTTTTCTTTTGTCTCTGCTTCACAGAATTAAACCATTTTAAGCATAGTGATGTGATGCCTGTAGGTTTGTTGTACATAATTAAACCTAATTAGTAATTCTTTTTTAGAAACAGTATTAAGTAAAGTTCTGTCAAAGCATAATCTGCATATTTTTTAAATGATGTCATATTCATCATACTTTTATGATTTCTATATACATATTTCCCCTGAAGAAGACTCAAGGCAGGTACTCAAAGAAGATGTGACTCCTCCTTGATGTTTACAAGCACAGCAAATCTTTCATTCTTTTGTCTTTTTCCCTGTTTGATTTTTAACGTAGTCTTACCATAAAAACGCATGGGTAATGAGTAATGCCTTTCACGTCCTCTTTTATATCTTATTTAGTAGTTTCTTGTTTTTTTCATCTTCCTTAATGGTGTTAAAGCACTGTAGCACTGGTATATTGTGATTTTGTGATGTTAATTACACAATCTTGAAGATTTGCGCAGATTATTATGTTTAACTGGAATGGAAGGAAGCTATTCGATTTGAGAGACAAATAAAATAGAAAGACTCTTTGCAAATAGCTAATCAAATATCCTTATCCTAGAAAGGTAATTAAATTAGATCCATGTAGAGATGGAATGTTTGACACATTTCATCTCTAATTGATTTCTTGAAATAATAAACTTTTGTTCTCAAGAGAAGAGAGTTCTTGTAAAAAATTTGTTCTCAAGAAAATAATACAGAACGTAAAGTTAAAAATATTTACAATTAGAGCAGTTTAGCCGTTTCACAAAAAGGTGACCATCGAAACCATGGAGCAGAATTAGCCTTGACTTAAAACCGACGAGAAAGAATAAAAACTCCCATATCTGCTCGGATCCAGGAGCTTAGTTAAGAAGTGTATTTATCAGCAAAAAGACAAAAGAAAACAGCTTAAAGACCGTGACGAAAAGAATTCCAGAATGCAGAAGTTATGAGCTTTTGTTTCACCAGGTTCAGTGGTGTTAGAGTCATTCAGTGTGATGAATATTATACCAATAACAATAATATTGGCTGAGGGTAAAGAGAAAGGGCTTGGTCAATTAGCAACTAAAAAATACAGTGCAGAATCTTCTGTGCAGTGCAGGAGTTTCAAGAAACTGGTTAGATACTGTGTGTGTGCCTTAAGTTTTCCTTGTCTACACTTTGAAAAATAAAACGAAAAAGTTGTCTATAGTTGACTAGCCTGTTGTCTTCCATTGTTTGTAAACTGTATAATTAAGCATAGTTTCATACAAGGTTTTTGAGCTTCACTATAAACAGGCGCATCAATGTGAGCTTCGCTACAAACAGGCGCATTAATGAGAGCTTCGCTACAAACAGGCGCATCAATGAGTTTATGATTTATGAGCATCATTACAAACAGGCAATTATTAAAAGTTTAATTACGCTAATTATTAACTTAACACTGTAAGTACAAACACATATACTACTGTATATGTGTTTGTACCATAAATATAGTATAAAAATGGTGTACCATAAATTCATATACTTTAATATCATACATACTTTTTGAATGTCATACATACTACAGCAATGTATTAATTTAGATGATTTATGCAAACAAATTGTTGTATATTATAACTGTATTTAAAATTGTTTTCATTATTGTTATTAGGTTGCGAACACTTCATTTATACGGTTGTAAAACAGTGCGGAATCTTGGAAAACTGGTAGATATAAATTCAAAACTGAAAATAGAAAAAGAGTCACTCCGATAAAAAGTGTTACTTTATATAACGATAAGTTTCTTCACTTTATTCGTTCTATTAAGTAATACGTATGTTTCTATACTATTTAAATTCTAGAACTCTTTTTACTTCTAATAATATTTCCACATCCTTTTTTATTTCTTTCTTTTAACAGTTTTGTAAAACATGTTTTTTTTCAAATATTTTCTTTACACCTTTAAACTTCTGTAAAAAATTTCTCAATCATTCCATTTTAAACTTCTGTAAAAAATTTCTCAATCATTCCGTTTTAAGGAAAGTTATATTTTAGCTTTTATATTTAAGTTTTCCTCGTCATTTTTTGTTTAATATGGAAAAAATTTTTTCGGTATTTTTCTTTTAATTTTTATTATTTATATTTACACGGATTTTTTTAGATTTTTAAAATGAACATGAAAAATTTATTTTTTTCTAGTGTTAATATATACTTTAACGTATTTAATACTTACAAATTTTATAAATATGGTGGCTTAGTTTTTGATGTTTTTAAACATTCAAATATTATAAATATGGTGGCTTAGTTTTTGATGTTTTTAAACATTCAAATATTATAAATATGGTGGCTAAATCTTTGAAGTTTTTAAGCATTTAAATATAAGTTAATAAATTGCTTCCTTAATTTGGTGTTATAAATACTGAAATAATCTTTATTCAAAAGAGAAATATTTTATTTTGATGTAGAAGATTTTTAAGCTAAAAAAATAGAAACAAAACTTTCTGATTTTTTTATGTTTTTAAACACGTTCTAACACGATGATGGCTAATAGTTGTCGGAATTCGAAAAAATCACTTCCGTAATAACATCAAAAGAACACTTAGCAAAATTTCCATACAGGTAAAGAAATCTCAGAATGTTAAATGTTTTTTAAGATTCTGCTAAGTTCCAAATATTTGAACATATACTTTGTTTTTACTTTTAAGAGTTGAAAAAATACTCCTGCTAGATTGCCAAAACGTTTTAGAAGTTTTTTAATACAGTTTTCAATTAGATTAATATTTAGGACATGCTTTTTTTTTATAAGGACTTTAGAAGGTTAAAAAGTAGGTAGTATTGTTGCCAATATTGCTTAGGTAATCATGAATTTCTACACATATATATATATATATATATATATATATATATATATATATATATATATATATATATAATGCTGAATATATTTTTAAATGTTTGGTTCATTTATCTTTTATACTTTTTGCTTTCCACCACACAATGCAAGGTTAAGGGACCTCAAAACGTTAGGTAAATGAAAGTTGATTAAAAAATATATATATTTGCATTAAATTTCTTCTCGACGTTATGAAATGAATATTCTGCTTTTAGCTTCATTCACGAAACCTCCTTCAAAACACACTTTAGTACATTTTCTTTGTTTGTTTTTAAACAAATAAAAAAATTAAACTAAAGTGTGTTTACTAAAGTAGAGTACATGTGCAAAAGTTTTGATATTCCTTTGCTGTAGAGAATAAATATGAAATGGGAAAGTCCTTTAGAGTTAAACCAACAAGCAAATCAAGATACAATGTTCTAAGAGATTTCATAGTAATGAAATATAAGCAGTTAGAGGAAGCAGTTGAGTGGTGCTGAACAAACAATAAACCTGGTTGGGCTGTAATCAATTCAGGATGATTTCCACTAATTAAAGATCTTAGAACAATTAACAAACGGATTGATGGTGTCATTATAACTGGAAACGAGAAGGAATATTGTTCATTTTTTACAAAATATGAAGAAGAACCGTTTGTCTTTTATATAAGAAACAAGAATAGGTAATATGTACACATAATTGAGAAGTGAAACATTTTTTTAATAAACTGTTATCTGTAATAAAATTTTAATATTGTTCATTAAGAAAACTAATTTACACTGTTTAGTTTTCTTGTATTTTTATTTCAATAATTTATTTAGGTGCCTCCAAAGTTTAAACAAGTCGGAGTTGACAAGGATACTGTTGAATGTTTTGAGAGCAAGATAGCAAGCCTGTAGAAACCTCCGTGGACGTCAGATTATTAAGCTATTACCAAATGCTTAACGAGCACTCCAAACAATGAAGTTTAGCAAATCTTTTTGAAACCGTTGGAATGCAAAACACTAATAGTACATTACCAAAAAGAGACAAGGAACTGTATCCATAAATCTTATCCTTAACTGCACAAAAGAAATAGCATGTAACCACTTCAACAAGTTAGCTGAAGAACATATAGAATGTAATATTTTCGTTGATATAAATCAATCAGAACCAGGTGTATAGCAGGAAGATTTGGATGCTATTAGAATTTATAATCATGATGAAACCCCCTAGTTTATAAACTATGGAGTTGATGGTACTCCAAATGGTTTAGTGTATGCTGAAAGAGGGGAAATTCGTCAAAAGATTATAAGAGAAAATAGAGAATACGTTACTATACATCCTTTTGTTTCCTTTGAAGGAGATATAGCAATGTGCCACATCATATTCAACGGGAAAAGGATTGGTGCCCACGTGGCTCCAAAAGAAGCAATTATACAAATTCCTAACATTCTAGTCTCCATAAATGATAGTGGAAGTCAGGATCATAGTACATTTCTAAGAGCATTTCAATGTTTGACCACTTTTTAGGAAAAAAAAACAGTATAAAACGGCCTCTTGTTGTCTTTTCTAATGGTCACTCTTCAAGATTTGACAGTGATGTATTGACATTTTTAAGAAGCAAAAATATTAGACTTTTTATCACTACATCTGACACAATTAGTGTTACCCAGGTTCTTGATCAAACTAATCAGAAATTGCACTCAGAGTACAGAAGTGCTAAATCTGTACTTTATTCTTCGTTTATGACAATTAACAGAAGGTTTCATGAATATATTTGCAGAGTTACAGCCAGAGTGGCCATCAAAACAAACAACCATAAATGCAGGTAAAAATTTTGGCATTTCAAGTGGAGGACTCAGTGTTAAGTGGATGCAGAAAGATAAGTTTGTACGAGTTGAGCTGTGTATTAATGAATATACCAAAAAAAAAATTAATTATCAACAGCAGTAACAATTTCATCTCCAAAAGATGTTCGCTAAGGCTCAGCAGGATATTGGAAACATAAATACGAAAGTGCCATGGAAGTTTATCTGATAATATATCTGATATATATTCCAGTGATATTAATTTATCAGATAAACGATATCTGATAAATCAATATCACTGTAAGAAATACCTAACTTGTTACCTGTAACTAGGGTAACGCCTGGAATAAACAGGGAAAATATGAGAGTTACTCAATTTCACGGCTCAATGGAGTAAAAAAATATTGAAAACGGTTTCTTTAATCAAGGAAGACATAGCCATAATGTTTTAAAATCTACATGTAGTAAAGCATCATGTCAAGGTAAAACAGGCTTAAAACCGAGTATCATCAAACCATTTTGTGAAATAGGACCCCAAAAATGCCTTCAGTTTGAGTCTGATGAAAATAACGTTGAAGACTTCATTCCTATAACTGATTTTTTCCAGAATACAACCTAGCTTTCTCGATCTTATTTTTATACTTTTTTTTATAATATTTTTATTAAGTTTGTTAATGTTGTTTTAAAAAAATTATAAAAAGTAGTCACTTGAGTTTGCTATATAGTTTTGATTTAGTACTTCAAATTAAAGGATTTACCACCTGGAACATGGATATATAATCTGAACTTACTTTAATGGTTCTATCATCAAATAGGTTTGAATTTCATACACCAGAACCAGTTCACCATTTAAGATTTATGAGAAAAGGTTTATACTACTAAAAATCTTTTAATGAATGAAATCCAAAACATGACTGAAAAACATAAAGAAAAAAAAATTGGTATGGCTTTATTCATTTGTTTTTGACATGCTCAGGTGCAGCGCCTCAAAATGCTAGATATTTTAAAAGGCGATTTTAAGAAAATTGGATTTATTATGCGCACGCATCTTTTTAGCACTGTTTTTGGAGTCTAAAGGCAACTTTTCTGATAAGGGATCGTCCATAAATTACGTCACGCTATAAGGGGGAGGGGGAGTTTGTAGTTTTGTGACGACTCATACAAAACTTGCTTCTTAAGTGTTACGATTTTGTGACGAGGGGGAGGGGGAAAGGTCAAAATCTGTCGAAAATGCGTGACGTAATTTATGGAGGATCCCTAAGGTTCTGCAAACTTATTTTCAGAAGGACTTGAAATATTCAAAATTATTTTTTAAAAATATGTTAATAGCTTGTAGACTTTTTTCAACGTTTTCGTATTTTAGAATATTTTTTAAGGAATACATCTAATATGTTTTTATTTATGACTTAACATTATATTCTTTATTCAAATTTTTTAACGCTTCAGAGTTTAATTAAAAAAATCGAGTTCTATGTTCGTTTATTTCCAACCTGATATTCTAAGATTCCACTGCATTCTGAGGTGTTTTTATATGTAATTCCATATAGTTATTGCATATTTTACGCGGAATATATTTATAAAAATAACTACAATAATCTTAGGGATCATCCATAAATTATGCAACGCTAAATTTCACCAATAATAATAAACAAAACAAAAAAGATTTTCCCTCGGAGTACTATAAGTTAAGTAAAGATAGGTCATTAAGTTTTTTGAATAACTTTAGCATTCCGCAATTTTTTAAAAAAAATAGATCTATTGCAAACAAATGCGTTTGTGGCGATTTTATGCGTTTCTGAAACAATCGAAACTAAATTTTCTAGATGTTTTTAAAAATATACTAAACTGAAATTACCTGTTACCACAAAACGTCCAACAAAATCAAGAAAATTTCAGTGGAAAAAATCACAAAACCACCATTGACAAAAAACATAAAAGTGCATGATTTAAGTTTTTAGACCATGTTTAGGAAAAATAAAGTCATTAGAAATGTATGACTGGTTTGTTTTATTTGATTTATGCTTATCTTGAAACCTTTTGGCTGTCACTTTAACTTTTCACTTAAGCATAGGTTAAACAACTGTTCTGGTTTTGTTGCTAAAACTTTCACAAAGGAATGCTAAAGTTTATAAGTAATACAATTTATGCATGTAATTTTCCATTTTTTCCATCAATATATTTAATTGACAGAGAAGCTAGTCAAACAAGTCTTTCTTGTATTATAGACGAAAATATGTTTTTATTAGTTTGGGCTCGCTACTTAGCGCAAAAACGGAAAATTTCAAGAGGAAATTTTCAGAGCTACAACAATGTTATATCCTTGCTAGTTATTTTCTGCAAACTATGAATATTGTAGAGGAAACAAAATGGAGAACTAATTGTTTGCATCAGAGTGAGTTTTTCTTTAACGATTTAT